TTAAGAAGAGTTTCTCCAAGGACTAGTATTGTTCAGACTCACAGGACTTGATGAGGAGATCACAGGTTTGTTTGTCGTGAGGATACTTGCACAGGATGAGATTGCACGATGGCTTGATCTTGACGCTGTAAAAAAGTCTCATAGTAAATTTGCTACCGCAGGTAAATAAGCAACTGGGCTATTCTGGAGGACTACTAATAACCAAAACTGGTCTCCTGAAGAGGATAGGTTCTACATGGAGGAAGCTGACTGGATCAGTCAATTTTATGAGCGAAGAAGAGGCTAAACAACTTCAATGAACTCCCAGCTTGGAGAAATCGAGGATTACCCTTTACCTAGTGAGAATAGCAATAGTTATGCAATTCCAAATAACACTGAACCAAAAACGTTGAAATAGTCACCGTGTTTCATAGAGCACCAATCCATCGGGAAATATGCGCATGAGAAAATTGAGGAAGGTGACTTCGTGGAATTCTGCCTCCTTAGCGTTTGCAAAGAAGGGATCCGGTCTCCAGATCTTCTCCAGAATCTCTTCCTCCTTCACCAGAATCGGCTTGTCGTAAGGATTTACTAGACGTGCGTCTCTCCAAGCCATCAATAGGTAGATATCCATGTCGTAATCCTGGAACATTGGAATAAGCCCACTTCCACCGTATACTTTGCAGCTTTCTCGTGAGTTACTCATTTCGCGGAAAAAGGTCTTCGAATATGTACAGGGTGGGCAAAAATTACGGTAACAAGAGCGCTAACCAAACATCTCGATTTCCTTCGAACCTAATAAATGCACCTGGTTGAAGAGACCCCGGAGAGAAATCACTGGACACAACAGCAAGGTAGACCGCTTGTGCACAAAGCAAATATTGTGCAACATTGGTTTTGCAGAATTTTCCGAATTCATGCCATTGAACGAGGGGCCACCTTATTTTCCCGTGTTAAAGCAAGTGGGTTATTTTCCGTGGAGTCTACTGAAGACGATGGGCTACTACGAGTATCACTAAAGCATCGACGAATTAAAGAAGATCCTAGGGTAAGCTCGATGTCACCTACCTACACAACAGGCCATATGCGTTCCCGAGATGACTTCATTCAGGTATAAACGCAAACAGCGGCCAGTCCAAGAAGTGATGTTGTATTCTGTCTGGTGACCTCCTATGAATACATTGTTGGGGTCCACGTGTGTCTTGCTGGCCGAATTGCTCTTCCATGAACACTTTATCCTGTTACCGTAATTTTTGCCCACCCTGATAGACCCAGGTATTGCTCTTATTTTCTAGCACTCTTTGAAGTGCTTCCCTACAACTACTGCATCACAGCTGACCATACGAAGAAATAAAGAGCACATACCATAGTTGACGTCTGGAAGTTGGACATTGACTCTATGTAAATACCAAATCGAACAACAACGGCGCTTCCCTAAAGAAGATCGTTTTAGTGGTTACTGAAAAGAACAGGCTAATGGAATGTATTAACTTGTAATAAATGAACTTATTGCGATTCAAAAGACTTCAGTTAATAAAAAAGAAGTTATGGGTTAATGTTTCGTACTGTCAGTTAACTATTGAAGTCTACAGAAACCAAGTAAGTAAAGTACCTGGAAGACAATGGGAGCCGAAAAAGGATCGTATTGGTTCTTGTTCAGCACAGGAAGGATGAACGATCCACCCAGCGTTCTATAAGCAATATAATTTTTATTCTTTTCGATCGATCCCGACCGACTGCCCCAAACGGCCAAAAAAGGCAAAAGCACGCTGACATCAAGATGTTAAAGTTTACCAGAACGAAAACGCCCACTGGAGCGAAACAATAAGCCTAACATCAGGATCCCCTCAAAAAAAGTTTGACGTACAAAAAGTACCAACTTGATAGAGGCGTTTGTTCTGCTGAGGATGTCGTCCACCTCGGTGTCATTTCGCAACTTCTCAGCGAGTGCGGTCAGATTCACTCCGGCAGCTTCCAGAGCCGACATGTTCAAACCGATAGGACCATCGATCTCAATACCTTAAAATAACAAAGCCCTCATATCTTCGATTATCAGCTGATTTGCTTAAGTGCTAAACCAATTCTACGCTACGATATACACAATGTTGTTACCTCCAAAATGTGCTAATATATTAATAACCAACCTTCAAAATCGCTACTGTCAAATTCGTCGATAGCTTTTGGGACGTAATCAGCGCAAATTCCAGGTAGATATAGGCCAACCTTAAAAAACTAATGACAGCTGATGAACAAATTGTAAGAATTAGCAAAGAATCAAGAATTATACCGCATAGAAATAGACAACCTATAAAGAACCAATAACCTAGGACCGTAGTAATATATAAATTTAACAGTAACACCCTGAGTCTTACCGCGTTCCTTACTTATGCTTCTAACATTGTCAAGTAATAAACTGGCAAGTGTCGCCTAGTACCAAGCGCACGATCAGAAGATCAAATCCCGGATCGACTTTTTTCCAAGGTGACCAAACCTTTCACCCATGAGTCGGTTATTGGATGGCACATTTGTCTGGGAAGACAACAGCAGAAGCTTTTGCGTCGCCCAGCCCCAAAAAGACAGCGCATGTACCAAGTCTCACCCAAATGCCCCTAAAATTCCGAATGGAAGCCGAAGGCACGAGCATTCCGAGGTAGGTATGGGTCAATCCTGAACGCCTTATCCTTTACCTCTCACCATTAGTAGGATAGTTATTCCTCCAAGTGGAACATGAGATCCGCTAGCTTCTCAAGATCGTTTTAAGCCACCATCTGGTAAATGGGAGGCTGGAAAAAGATAAGTAAATCGGCAAACGCGAACCTTTTCAAACCTTTGTAGCGCATCAGCTGGAACTTTCAGTTGCAGCCCATCAATAGCCTCCTTTGACGAAATCAGCAGCTGGGGTCTATAAAATTAGTGTCACGAAGGTTAAGGAGAATTCTAATTCATGAAGAGGTTGTGCCCTTCTCAACAGACAAACATAATACAGTCTCAGGGACTCGTATGTTTTGCTGCAGAACGTGTAAATACTTTTGATAAGCAGCAACGTCAATATAATTAACATAAGGTTTATGGCAGGCCTTGTCCAGAACAGTGCAAATCCATGGTAAGAGCATCTCCACAGGTACATACCTCCTT